AAAGACCATGGCCTGTATCAGGCACACCTTAGTCTCCAGAGAGACACCATTGCTCTTGAGTACTTTAGAGAGGTCCCTAACAGCAGACTTTCCCATACAATGTATTGGTATACATAGAAGAGAAAAAACAAAAATTAAAATCAAAACCAACAATAACAAAAGTCCCCACCTATTTTAGAGAAGTTAGAAATGTTCAGACTAGTCAAAATACTTTTTCACTTTGCAAATTAGACTATTGAATATGAGACATTTTGTTTAAGCAGTGTTCTAATTACATTTCTTAACTACAGAAGTTCTCTTAAAAATGAAATTAATTTTCTTCAAAATTAAACTTTTCTTCTTTAGCTTTAGGGGAGTTGTAAAATATATTTCCTTTCTCTCCAGTATCTTCTCACACTCTTTGAATATGGAAATTCAAAGGGAAGAAAGCATATGTCCTTGATTTCATTCTGAAAGGTGCCAGCACTGACACTGTTAATGGATAGCCCTATTAAAGCAAGCATAAACATTTTGTGAGAACATTCCTTCCTAGAAGCAGTTGGGTTTGTCCTTTCCCAGGCTTTAGGTTTCTGTGGAAATTCTTTCAGCCATGTTTTTGCCAGAAAATACTCTTTCATTTTATTCAGTACTCATTTTCATGTTACTGAACGTTGCTTCTATCAGAGGAGAGGAAAAAAGCACTATGATTGCTGAAATTGTGATGAATTTAAAATGACAAGGAAGGCCACACTGACAGAATTTAGGACTACATAAAGAGGATTTTTTAAAAGAGAGGCTTGAGATTTATGCTGCAAGTTTCCTTGAATGAATTATACATTTTTAGCAAGAGGACTTCACTGAAATAATCAGCCTGCCTTTGTGAAAGGAAAATATTTTTTAGTAAAATGATAAATAGGAAACTATGAATTTAAGAAAAGGACTGGAAATATTGATTGGATCTTCTCTTCTTCAGCTATATGACAAAATTAACACGAAGTCTTCACCACAAATCAGGAATCCTCCAAGTGATGCAGTACAGAGAGCCAAAGAGGTAAATAATATATTTTGTAAATAACTTTGGATGTCAGAATTGCTACCTTAATTGAAAACATTCCTTCTGTGTATTGAGAGGACATTTCCTTGAAGTCAGTTTGACTTGTTATATTGAACATTTCATATGCAGTGTTCTCTTTTTGTCTCTGTTATTTTTCTTTACTTATTAGAAACAAATATACTAAGAAAATTTAAGTTGTTTTTTAAAGATCAATGTTTGAAACTCAAATAGCTGTTAAAATTAAATGTGTTAAGTCTGAAAAAATCCTTTTTATAAATTGTTAGTATACATGACTGTATCCTTCACAAACTTCTTTTTAATTTGTTCAGTATAGAAACAAAATCTTGCAGAAAGTTTGCCACTAAAAATTGATACATAATGTTATCCCCTTAGTACAGTAATTTTACTTTTTGCTTAGCCTTTTCCAATCACTGTCCATTTGAATATATATTTATGTTATTGCTGTTGTTGAGTACTGTTAAGTTGAAAACAACCCATAGCTGGCCCTCCAGTGGGTTTTCAGAGGCAGTAAATCACATGTGAGGAGATTGCTCCTATCATCTTGCGGAGGAGCTGGTGGATTTTAACTGTGTACCTTTGGATTGACAGTGCAATTCCTTACCACTAAACCACCAGTGTTCGCTATATGTTTATATAGTTGCCATCAAAATGTATCCATTTTCTCTTAAATTTATATAATAATTATTTTCCATATTTCTACTTGTTTCCATAAATATTTCTACTAGTGATTATCATTTTTATATTATTAAATATTTAATTAAATAAAGTAACATCATTATTATCAGACACATAGCTTTCCTTGGTTGTTTTCTTTTTGTTCATTTGTTTGATAAGTTTTTATGCAAATAAGCATTTTTCTTTTTTAAAATATTATTTCTTAGAAAATGAGATTGCTAAATCAAAAAATTTTTAAAAACCTATAATCTCTTCCCTACTGGATTTTAAACACAAGACCTCTAATGACAAGTATTGTTTATTCACCAAGAAACAGTACATATCACATGAAGGCAGTCAGGCCTGCTCGCTGGATTAGGACACCAGTGAGATATTACCTCTGCCTTTGCTCACCAAATGTTCATTTAAAGAAATCAAGCTACCACCAACAGGGAATGTAATTTTCACCATCCTTTCTTCGTAATAGGGAGCCCTGGTGGCCCAGTGGGTAGAGAGTTGCATTGTTACTCTCTGGTGGCACCAACTACTCCACAGGAGAAAGTTGAGCAGTCTCCTTCCATACAATCTATAGTTTCCATAAACCCACTGGAGCCTCAGTTATGAGTCATTTCCGACTTGACAGCAATGAGAGAGAGAGTTCTTTGCAATACCCCAACAGAGAGAAATGGAGATACTTTGGGAACAATTCTTTGTCTCAACTGGCCAGTGAAAACGAGATGAAGGGTTCAACTTAGTCATGCTTAGGAGGCCACACCTCTGTGTTTAAAGTCTGGGAGAATATTGAGGGATCCAGACAGAGCGTGTGCTTTATTCCTTCCATTTCCCTCATAGGGAAACTTGAAACATAAAATAAGCAAAGGTTGATTGGTTTATCATCATTAAACAATATGAATTTATAGCATCACCAGCTGGGAGCCTATTGCCATTTGTGATTAAAGCCATTTGGATAAGAAAGAAACTGTTGTTCCTGTTAGTATGTTTTCCCCCAAAGAAGCTAGTTATAGAATATTATCATATGGCACTGAAATCTAAGCTTTAGGCCAAATAACCTCACAACTTCCTCTATTGCCCTAGTCTGAAGTATTTGTAATATTCTCCAAAGACTGACTGGAAAGATATCTAATAGGGGTTGGAGGTGATTGTGTACCTTTGTCGTAAAATTCTGCTGAGACCTGGTCACTGACTTGATTGGCTAAATCTTTTGGGTTGAGATTAGTGCAGTGGGACAAACTGTTTTGTGAATCCACCACATACACTTAGAATGGTGGAAATAAGTTTACTCTAAAGAGAACAATGACTTTCCCCTTGGTTTGTGTTACTTAAGTTTTAAATGGATAAAGTCTACCCTGGAAGGACTTCATAGCTTTGGAAAGACAATGTTAATTTAAAAAAAAAAAAAAGAAACCACAAAACCCCAGCCATTTTTAACTGTACAGAGACAATATTGAGGACCAATTGATGAAATTAGTGTGTTTTTTTTTATTTCTTGGAAATTATTAAATAGAGTAACTATTGACAGAGGTGTGGTTTTCTCCATGAGTGTGGAGACTGACATTGATCAGGCTACAAGGAAAATTGCTTAAATGTTTTTCTTCTTTAAATTGTTTTCATTTGCACCCATGTCATTTTGCTCTTTCAAAAAAGAATTGACATTTCTGCCAAATAAAAGAAAGCTGCCACTAAATTTTATTGCAGATTCTTTTTGATGGTGAATTTGGAGAAAGACATTTAGAGATATTCTCCCATTAAGTGAATGAAATTACCTAAACCTGTAATAAATCTATATTATGGGCTTGCCATTTTGTTTTGTATTTTTCAGTAGCTGTAGTTGGGTAATGGAAGCAGACACTTTTACATTAACTCGTATTTTTATTACCATTAATCAATTTTCCCCCAAGTTGTTTTACCTACCATAAAAATGCATTCATAATTTTTTTCATTTAAGATAATATTATGTTTTCTAGATCACCAATCTTTTTTACAGTATTAGATGTCTTGCTTATTTTTTAGGTATTGGAAGAAATTTCATGTTACCCTGAAAATAATGATGCAAAGGAACTAAAGCGTATTTTAACACAACCTCATTTCATGGTAAGTAATGCTTAAACTTCCATAAAACTAAAAGCTCATTTTAAAAACAAAATTTTAGTAATCTTCATAAAATATATGCTTCAATGTTCATCCTATAAGATTAAGATTATATATAATATTTATCTATACAATTTTAAGACTCCATATAATGTTAAGATAGCAATACTGTTGTTGTCATGTGCTGTTGGGTCATTGCTGACCCTCCAGCATGTTTTCAGGAGCTATAAATCATGCAGGAGGAGACTGCCCATCATTTTCCCACAGAGCAGCTGGTAAAGCTGAACCATCTTTCTTAGAGTTGGCAGCATAATTCTTTACCACTAGGCCACTAAAGTGCCCCTATATATATAATATGTTAAGATGGTAATACCAGGTAATTCCAAATACAAAATACTTTTAGATACTTGGTGTCACAGTCCTAAAAGTGCTATTTTGTGAAGTGCCTCTTCAGGGAACTTGTTATCAGACAAGGGTTTTGCTCCTTCATAACACAGTCCTTAAGTCACTGGAACTACGTACATTAGCTAAACCAAAGAGGCACAATTTGAATTCACCAGCTGCTCTGTGAGAGAATGGTGGACAATCTCTGCTCAAGAAATTTACTTCCTCTGAAAACCGACTGTGGAGTCAGGTATGAATTGGTTATGGCTCAATGGCACACAACAATAGCAAACCATAAGAAACTAAAATTTGAAACTATTTTCAATAAAAATTCTCAAACCTAGGTGATATGTGGAAGAAAATACATCTCTTTCAGATAATACAAAATTCTTACACTTCATCCATTCATTTCTGTTGTCTGGAAAGTGGCCATAGCACTTGTATTTAGCCAGTTAGTGTAAAACTAAATATGTTAACAAAACTCAAAATTGGTAGACTCCTTTTCAGTAGAAAAATGTCTATGGTCATCTACTTAACAGCAATTGAAAATCATAACAACAGATGGAAAAGCACATTGAGTACTGTATGACATTTAAAAAATATTAACCTAAATGGAGTTTACGTGAAGAGTTGAAAAAGCTATTCATTTCCCTTTGAAAGAAAACAAATCTACCTTAAAAGATATGTGTTTATTAACACTATTGCAGCACAGATGTCTTGGAAAAGGTGCAGCCAGCGTTTTCCTTGGAGGCAAGCATGGCAAAGCTTTGTCTCACATAAAAGAAAGGAAGACACTCAATGAGATGGATTAACACAGTGACAGTAATAGTGGTCACAAATGGGGCAGAGATGATGAGGATGGCACAGGATAGGACAGAGTTCATATATGTTGTTCATAGGATTTCTATGAATTGTACTCAACTCAGTTACACATAATAACAATGTCAGAGTCCCTAGGTCATACAAATGGCTAGATGCTCACTACTCAGTTGGCCTTTCAAAATCTTGATCTTCAAATCTACGCTGAAGTACCTTGGATAAAAAGGCCTCACAATCTATTTCCAAAAGATTGCATTAATTGAAGCATAGCATAAAATCAAGAACCACTGGTAATAAACGATAATATTCAAGCTGCAATAAAGACATTGGCAAAAAATAAGACACCAGGGTTGCTGGAATGCCAACTAACATGTTTCAACAAGCAGATGCAACCCTGGACATGCTCACTAGTCCATGCCTAGAAATTTGGAAAACTGCTACTTAGCAAACTCACTGAAAGAGATCCGTAATTTGTTTCCATTTCCAAAAAAGGCGATCCAACAAAAATGTAGAAATTATTGAACAGAATAATTAATATACATACAAGTAAAATCTTACTGAAGATTATTAAAAAAACAGCTGGAACCGTACATACATCAGCAGGGAAATGGAAGAATTTCAAGCTGAATTCAGAAGAGGCCAAGGAACAAGAGAAATCCTTGCTCATGTCAGATGGATCTTGTCTGAAAGCAGAGATTACCAGAAAACATGTTTATTTGTATTTTATTGACTTTGGAAAGACATTTGTATAAATCAAAACAAATCATTAAGAAGAATGAGAATCTCAGAATACTTAAATGTGTTCATGTGAAACCTATACATAAGACCAAGAAGCAGCCCAGATAGAAAAAGAGAACAATGCATGGTTTAAACTCAAGAAAGTTGTATGTCAGGATTTTAGCCTTTCTCTATATTACTGAATCTGCATGCTAAGCAAATTATTTGAGAAACTGGAGTATGTGAAGAATATGACATGAGAATTGGAGGACTCATATGGAAAAAAGACTGAAGTGTCCATGTTTTCATTTCACTTGAATCCCCAGTCAACACTCATGAAAATAGCAGTCAAGAAAACAAAACACGTGTTGAATTTGGAAAAATGCTATCAAGGATGTCTCCAAAGTACTAAAGAGCAAGTGTCTGAAAATTGGACAATGAATAAGAATGACAGAAGAATTGATGTCTTTGAATTATGGTCTTGAGGAAAAGTACTTAATATCCCATAAACTGACAAAAGAACAAACAAATCTGTCTTGGAGGAAGTGCAACCAGGGTGCTCTTTAGAGGAAAGGAAGGAGAAGCTTCATCTCACATACTTTAAGCATGTTATCAGGGGAGACCAGTCCTTGGAAAAAGACATCATACTTGGAAGGATGGAGAAAGAGAGGAAGACCCTCAAAAAGATGGATTTTTACAGTGAGTGTAAGAATGGGCCTAAGCATATCAGAGATCATGAGGATGATGCAGGATAGTACCGAGTTCATATCTGTTGTTCATAGGGTTGCTACGAGTTATAGTCAACTCGATGACACCTAACAACATCACCTGCAGAACACATGATGTCGCCATGACTCATAATCAGCTCAACAGCAGTTGACTTAGTATTGTATATCGTATCTACTATCTGTGAGTTTGGGTATGGATGCCATTTTAAGGTACAATATATATAAAATGTAAAGCTACTCAAGAATGGAAATGGAATGTTTTTCTTCAAAATGACCACTTGAAAGTATTCCCATTTTCATTATTAATCTCCCACCAAGCATTAAAGATGGAAAAACTATAATCCTTGAGAATATTTTACTTTATTTCAAATGATAATAGTAACTATCCAGACAATTACAATAGGAACTCGGGTTTCATGCCTTTGAATGAGTGCACTTTTTACACTTTACATGTATATGTATAACACAGCATTTGGCTCACATCTCATCTAGGCTGTCATCATCTCTCCTAACACCCCTAAAATCCACACTTTGACTTTCTCTACTTTGCCTCATTTTGTAGTTGTTCATATTCCCCTGCGTAACATTCTAAAATCTGGCCCAAGATAGGAAGAGGCTGGCTGTCTGGCACAGGCCACTTCACCAATGAATGGGTAAGAAGATTCTCTGTGTCCACTCACATCCCGGCACAGCTCTCTTGTTCTTAGTAAGCTTATGATTGTATCCAATTGTCCTTATTATTTATCTCTTTCACAGACCAGGAAAATAAAGACAATGTGTGCTTTAATCCACTCACTCACGCACTCACTCACTCACTCGTTGCTACCGAGTCAGAATCAATTCATAATTGATCCTTCAAGTTTTCAGAGACTGTAAATCCCATAGGAGAAGATTGCCCATCTTTCTCCCACAGAACAGCAGGTTGATTTGAACTACTTGCCTTTGAGTTGACAACACAGCTAGCTAGGTCATCAGAGTTCTCTCTTCTTTTGTGTAGAAATGGTTAAAACTGTGGATTCAGATGGACCTGACAAATTTACCTCCCTGACCCAACATAATGAATTTAGAATAAGCTTCAGTGCCTTAACACATATTAGGTTAGTTAGGTTACTGTTAGGTGTTGTCGAGTCAACCCTATGAACAACAGTTCAAAACCCTGTTGTACACTGTGCCATTTTCACACTTCCTATAACACTAGAGCCCATGTGGCAGTCACCATGTCAATCCACCTTGTTGAGAGTCTTCCTCTCCTCACCAACCCTCCAAACTCCCTAGCATCATTTCCCTCTGCAAGTAATAGCACCTCCTAGCAACATGTCCAAAGTATGTGAGGAGAAGCCTCATCATTCTTGTCTCCAAAGAGCACTCTGGCTGCACCCTCTCCAAGACATATTTGTATTTGGGGGATTGTTGTTGTTATATCCCATCTGGTTGCCTGCAACTTCTACTGACCCTATGAACAACAGCTCTGAACTCTGCCCTAACCTGAGCCAATCTCACTGTCTCTGACACACCTACCACCATTGTCCCAGTTTCATCCAGTTTCATCTGGGGTCTTCCTTTCCTGTGCTGTCCCTCCACCCTTCCAAGCATGATGTCCCTCCTGGCCACATGGCCAAAGTATGTGAGACAGAGCTTCAAAATCCTAGCCTCCAGGGGAGCTCTGGTGACCAAGTGGCAAGAAGCTGTGCTGCAATCCTGAAGGTGTGCAGTTCGAATCCACGAGATGCTCTGCTGGAGAAGGAGGGACAATCTCCTCCTGTGCCAGTAAGATCCAATTCTATGGTACACAACAAGGAAAAAAAAGTCCTGGCCCCCAAGGAGCAGCTTGGTTTCACCCTCTCCAGGACAGATAAGTATTAATATTTTCCTGGTAGTGTCTTTTATGTACAGTTCATTTTCCAAGGTAGGCTAGCCTAATTGTGTGGTATATTTTCTATAGATAGAAACCTGCACATATTTGGATAGACGGCTTTCTTTAAACTGTCAAGCTCAATTTAGGCGATGACATAAGACTTTTGTAACCAAAAGACTTTTCACATTTGCAGAACGATAAATAAATTAGCATATTCCCAAAAAAGAGATTACTCATGCACTTTTTCATGGCTATATACCCAAATAAGAGATTACTCATGTATGCATCACTGACACTCATATAAGAGGAGACTACACTTTTTTCTCTGTACAGAGTCATTGGTAGATTCAAACTACCAAAGAGGAATGGTGTTTGGGTTAGCAGTATAACTCTTTAAGGACTAAGCTATCAAAGCTCCATAAATAAGATATATTTATGTATTTTGAGGTTATGTTTTTTAAAATTATAAAATTTCAGACATTGCAGATGTCTCTTACAAC